GATCGCGACTTTTGGGAGTCGAAAAATAGTCTTGTTTCCATTGGTGTTTTCTATACATGTGAGATACACCTCGGTATCAACAAGTCTTCATTACACAAGACTCGCAAAAATGGGTTAAAGTTGGACAAATTTAGGTTTAGACAGGTTATAGGACAGTACTGGTTTGATCAGTGGTAGAAGAGTAGCGTCACTGAAGTGAGAACCTGGGTAGCATAAAGTAGGTTGGACAGGATATATAGGCATGAGATGGACGTGCCTAGCATGGGCATGTAGGCCTACTGCAGGTGTTTTAGTTATCCTGTAAGTTTATACATTTCTGAAAGTTAAACTACACGCTTAATAACTGCTCATCAGACGTCAAGATGACCTTCCTCTGGACCTTCCTATACTTATGACACAATTTTCTCTACATTATCCACATGTAAATACACCAAAGCACTTCGTAAATTTTCCAGAAAAATAAGACCTAACTGGAGGGGCGATGATTATCTGAAGCATCCACACACGTGTACTGACACTCAGGGAAAGTCGGAAAGGTTTTTAACCAAACTGGTCGTGGAAATAAATAATCAGAGAAGAAGGCTAAAGGAACTTAGCTTCATATCGCTAAAAAAAAAAAGAATCAGGGGAGATATGATCATGCCATCGATATGCATAGTAAAGATGGATAAGGAGAGACTATTATGATACAGTAATAATACTGACCAACATTGGTTTCGACTCACGTTTAAACATGTTTCTAACTAACCACGGTACGGGTGGAGTTAAACTCACGGCAAGTTTTACGACTCACTTGCCATGGGTTCTAACCTCATGGCAAGTCGTGTTATTACGATTTCGTGAGTCATGGTTCTAACTAATTTTTAGAATGCTGCGTTTAGATCTGAACCTAGTTTTATTCCAATACGCTCAATTTTGAAATAGAACCCCACGGTGAACGATATCACAGACATAGCCACCGTGGAGAAGAGAGATCAGGGTAAACTTGATCAGTTTGACGGTCGAGTACTGCTGGACACTGGTGCGGGAGACTCAAACTGAACACAAATGAAAAAGCCTGAAAACTGGTGTAAAAATTTGTATGACTATATAATATTTTTTATTTTTTATTAGGTTTTGTCATTGGTTGCACCACACTTAATATTTTTGCTTAATATAATACTTATGATTGTTAGGTAACGTGTATCATGTTGGTCTTCAACCTTAGAGCCAAAATGATCATAAATTGCCAAAAAAAAAAAAAAAAAAAAACTTGGGTGATGCACTAAAAATGCTCAGATACGTGATCAGCGCATCAACTTGAGCTTGATGCAATGTTTGGTTTCTGAACTTGATTAAAAGTTAACGTTTATGGGATGGGGTTAATGTAATTAGCATACATGAAAGCTAAACACTCATCCAGTCAGCCACAGTCTTCAGTGATTGCTTCTTATCACTTCTTTAGCTTTATCACTTAGGCCTTTACAATGTTTTATGTGGCTGTGTACCAACATTAGTTTCATTTTATAATTTGAAGCTAAATATTTAGATTTATTTCAGATTCCTTTTCTGTTCTCGCATTTTCTGCTTATTTACCATCGCTTCTTTTTCCCTGTTTTTTTTTTTTCAGAGTTCTCTTGCATTTTTCCCTGGCCTCTGCTTAGCTGATATGAATACGTGGATTTCACCTCTTAAAAGCTGCTGCTCTTCCATCATTGTATCCTTCTTCCAGCCTACACAGACCAAATGTACTGAATTTGTAATAATAGTATTAGTGGCGTGACATTTGGCTGCGTAGGTCAGTCAGCTCTGTCATTAAAATATACAAGAGACGATAAGAATGAAATAAAACAACAGTAAAAGTAGCTAGCACGAACACTAGACACATATATTATGGTACTGAGTTAAAATAAACAACATCAGTTGAAACTATGAAATTGTCAAGAGACTCGCTAATAAGTTCCCCGAGGTCCCTACAATGTTGAATCTGTCCCTGTTTAACTATCTCTAATATGAATTTTACTACCGAATTGTGTAAATACATGCTTGCCAAGCCTAGTACGTCTTTCATACGAGTGACCTGACTTGGCTGTTCTCGCACCTTACTCTGCCTTGACCAGTGACCAAGCTTCTGACCTTCTCTTAGCCGTCACTCGCGACTTCATAAAAAAATCCAGAACTGACGCTTACGTGTCTAGTTTCCGTATCCTGTTTATTTATTAAATGCTAATTCTTCCAGACACAGCATTGTAGCTTATGAGCACCTTTACTGACAAGGCGTTTTGCCTTAATATAAGGTATTCCGTTCCTTAGCCTTGATAGAAAGTGCTCAACCCGTTATAAAGCCCTTATTGGAAAGTGCTCATTCCCTTAGTCCTGACAGGTGTTTTTTACCATAGCCTTGATGGTATGTTCAGTCCTTTAGTCTTGATAGAAAGTGTTCCGTCCTTGTATTACGAAGACAGGTACACTAAGAATGGACCTTTAGTACGTAGCCGTAATAGCAGTCTTCCAGACAGGGAACAACCTCAAGGGTAAAGGCTGAAGCAAACTCAAAGTAATTTATGAATACCTTACATTTCCTCCACCAACATGTACAAAGTGCAATAGAGCAGCAGGATGTTAATGAGCGGGAGAGTAAAGTGAATTCACTCATTGCAGTTGGCTTTTCATCTCTTATAAAAGAGAACTACCGTTGATAAGCTTTAAACCCCCATTAACCAACCAACAGGAGAGGGTGTGTTGTGTGTGTGTGTACTCACCTATTTGTGGTTGCAGGGGTCGAGTCTTAGCTCCTGGCCCCGCCTCTTCACCGGTTGCTACTGGGCCCTCTCCTCCCCGCTCCATGAGCTTTATCAACCTCGTCTTAAAACTGTGTATGGTTCCTGCCTCCACTACGTCATTTTCTAGGCTATTCCACTGCCTTACAACTCTATGACTGAAGAAATACTTCCTACTATCTCTCTGACTCATTTGTGTCTTCAACTTCCAATTGTGGCCTCTTGTTTCTGTGTCCCCTCCCTGGAACATCCTGTCTTTGTCCACCTTGTCTATTCCACGCAGTATTTTATATGTCGTTATCATGTCTCCCCTGACCCTCCTGTCCTCCAGTGTCGTCAGGCCGATTTCCCTTAATCTTTCTTCATAGGACATTCCCCTTAGCTCTGGAACTAACCTTGTCGCAAACCTTTGTACTTTCTCTAGTTTCTTGACGTGCTTTATCAAGTGCGGGTTCCAAACAGGTTGCTGCATACTCCAGTATGGGCCTGACATACACGGTGTACAGTGTCTTGAATGATTCCTTACTAAGGTATCGGAATGCTGTTCTCAGGTTTGCCAGGCGCCATATGCTGCAGCAGTTATCATGATTGATGTGTGCTTCCGGAGACATGCTCGGTGTTATACTCACCCCAAGATCTTTCTCCTTGAGTGAGGTTTGCAGTCTTTGGCCACCTAGCCTATACTCTGTCTGTGGTCTTCTGTGCCCTTCCCCTATCTTCATGACTTTGCTTTTGGCAGGATTAAATTCGAGAAGCCTTTGCTGGACCAGGTGTCCAGTCTGTCCAGGTCTCTTTGAAGTCCTGCCTGGTCCTCATCAGATTTAATTCTCCTCATTAACTTCACATCATCTGCAAACAGGGACACTTCTGAGTCTAACCCTTCCGTCATGTCGTTCACATATACCAAAAATAGCACTGGTCCTAGGACCGACCCCTGTGGGACCCGCTCGTCACAGGTGCCCACTGTGATACATCATTACGTACCATGACTCGTTGTTGCCTCCCTGTCAGGTATTCTCTGATCCATTGCAGTGCCCCTTCCTGTTATATGCACCTGATGCTCTAGCTTCTGCACTAATCTCTTGTGAGGAACTGTGTCAAAGGCCTTCTTGCAGTCCAAGAAGATGCAATCAACCCACCCCTCTCTCTCGTGTCTTCTGTTATTTTATCATAAAACTCCAGAAGGTTTGTGACGCAGGATTTGCCTTCCGTGAATCCGTGCTGGTTGGCATTTATACTCTTGTTCCGTTCCAGGTGCTCCATCACTCTCCTCTGATAATCTTCTCCATAATTTTGCATACTATACACGTCAATGAACAAGGTCTATAGTTTAGTGCCTCTTTTCTGTCTCCTTTTTTAAAAATGGGAACTACATTTGCCGTCTTCCATACCTCAGGCAGTGTGTGTGTGTGTGTACGTGTGTGTGTGTGTACGTGTGTGTGGTTACGTGTTGTGTGTGTGTACGTGTGTGTGTGTGTACGTGTGTTGTGTGTACGTGTGTGTGTGTACGTGTGTGTGTGTGTACGTGTGTGTGGTGTAGGGTTGGTGACGTGTGTGTGTGTGTACGTGTGTGTGTGTTACGTGTGTGTGTGTACGTGTGTGTGTGTGTACGTGTGTGTGTGTACGTGTGTGTGTGTGTACGTGTGTGTGTGTGTACGTGTGTGTGTGTGTACGTGTGTGGTGTACGTATACGTGTACGTGTACACTCAGCTGGCTAGAGGGAGTCTGACTTCAGCCAGGGCGGTAATTATAAATTAGGCTGGAGTCAAGCTCTCACCCAATTGGTTGTTGTATGAACCTGACACCGAATCAGTGTCCAGAGGCCCCAGACAGCCACTCCTACCTAACTACCAGTTTGGCTGGTATAGAGTGAATGCAAGATGAACGCCGAGTAAATTAACGTACTCGGCGCACGCCACACCTTGATAGTGTTCATGTCCAAGTCTTGACAGTGTTCAGTCCCTTAGCCTTGATAGAAAGGGGTTTAGTACCTTAGCCTTGATAGAAAGGGTTCAGTCCCTTTGCCATGTAGAAAAGATTGTCCCTTAGTCTTGAAGCATCTAAGGCAGATAGTCATAATTGCGACTTTATTCATGTCATCTTGTGATTGATATGAATGTTTGTCGCCTCTTGAGTATCTAGTGTAGTTTGTCCTTCTGATGTAAACATCTTGTAGCTTCCTACTGCCCTGGTGTGTAGTCGCATCTCTTCTCCACAACACTTCTCTTGGGTATTGGAAATTTAGTTCCGCTTGATCACTGCCGCTGTTGACGAATGTCCATTTGATAATGAACCACCTGCTGCTGCTTCCTCTTCTGCCTTTTCTGCTTTCTTCTTCCCTTTACTTCTGCTTCTGATTCCTTGTGTTTCTTTGTTGCTGCTGCTGTTTCTTTCTGCTCCGGTAGAGCTGCTGCTGAGTGCTGCTGCTGTGTTCTTCATGGTTTGTAATTTACTTCAAAGTTTCAAATAAGGAACTTAGTGTGTATTGAATATTAATATAAAAGTGATTTATCGATGGTATTAAAAAGAGATACCAGTTCGCCCACAAATGACGTATTTAAAGTCATGGAAAAAGGGTTACCTCTGAGCGAAACATCGCTTGCTCTGGTATTAATATTCTCGTACAGCCATAATTGTTGGCATATTTTTGCTTTTCAAACCAGTAATATGAGCTTATCTTTAATTTACTGGAGCACCCCGTTAAATGTTTTGCACTCTGGCAGGATTGCTAATTTCTCTCTCATGAAGACGTAGGACAGATAAATCTTAAAAGCTTCTCCCTTCAAGGAAGGTTCCTTGATGTTGGTGAGGGGCTCTTGATTTAGGGAATTAGATCTGTGCTCCAGTTCCCCGAATTAAGCCTGAATGCCTTCCACATCCCCCCCCCAGGCGCTGTATAATCCTCCGGGTTTAGCGCTTCCCCCTTGATTATAATAATTAAAAGCTTCTACTTCCAGTATCCACATACAGTATTTTCCGGCATATAAGGCGCACGACAAGTATATTTATAACGGTAATCACTAGTAATCAGCGTAATACAAAGTCTGCCCTTGACATTGACCTTGAGCATATAAGGCGCAGGCTGATTTTCCAAGACTTTTTGTGGGGAAGAAAAAAAAGGCGCGCCTTGTATGCCGGAAAATACCCTTAATAGTTCTTAACTAATCTCTAATATTTCCTTTACCGAGGAGGCCTGGTCCGAGACCGAACCCTGGGGAAGGTAATCCTCAGACCGTTTAACTCAGGGGTACTTAACTTTTTTACGATTACAGACCCACAATGGTTTACCCAATATGTCCCCATTACCCCCTTCGCCAGCTGTGGAAATGATCACCACCACCAGTCCTATCAGTCAATAGTTTGGTTTTACTTTACATATGGATAGCTAGCAACACAACACTCGATAGTTTATTCTAATATAACTTTTTTTTTAAATTGTTCAGAGACGGAGTCCCATACCCCATTATTTGGCTCCCAGGTACCCATTATTTGGTTCCATACCCCAAGTGGTATGGATACCCCCCCCCCTGGTTAATAACCCTCGGGACTGGAACCTATTAAGTTTGCCTTCACCGCTGAACTGTCTGGCTGACTACATGTGAGAGTTATGTTGATAACCTCAACATAGTCCAGTATTTGTGGTCCACTTTCCAACCACACGTTTTCCAATAATTTACTTTCCTGCTGTTGGGATGTTTTTCCCCTTTTCTGTACCGTTTTCATAACCCTTATTTATAATTAATGGGCGAGTGGTATAGCTTGGGGAGTGCAGGTAGGCAGCATCTCTTTTGTTCTTACCGTCCGGAGGGTTGAGCCTTCACTACTTGTGTGCTGAATGACCCATACTGGTTTAGCTCTGATAATAATGCTAATCATCTGTTATGAAGATGTGCAGTAATAAAAAATGACACGTGTCTAACATCACAAATCCTACCTACAGAAAGTGAGGCCATTTTCTGCTTCAGTGACTGATAAGTTAGGTTGTAATAACTGTTACTGCACTCTAGCTGCGTGCAGTAATAGCCCGGTTAACCAAGCAGTAAACAATAGGAAATGTTGAAGAATTAGACACGTTTGCAACATTTGGAAATCTTTACTGAGGAAACGTTTCGCCAGCCATTGACTTCTTCAGTCCAGTACAGAGAAGAACGGTGGAAGATGAGGGGGGGGGAACCCTCGATAAGTCACGGGTATTGTCACTGGTATACTTAAATACCTGAAAATTGTTTGTCGTTGTTTGTGTTTGTGGGAAGACTATCAGATGCCCACTGAAAATCACATCCCTCTCCGTTTGTCTTTATACATTAAATGCGTTTGTATACTTTTTGTATTTTTTGTAAATATCACAAGAAAACTTGTATTTCATAAGTACCGCTAGTACATGAACACGCTTCTATTTTCACATTACAGGAAAAAAAACATATTTTTGCAAGTGTCTGTAACAATTCCGAGCTGTGATTTAATTAAGATTGTGACGTTGATTAAATCAGGTTTCAGTCCTTTGTTATGAACGTGTGAATGAACTTGTCACAGGTTTCTCATTGTTTTGTTTATAAAGATCCGCGGTACTCCGGTCTATTTTGTTCTCTGAAACTCTTGCGGTATACAAGACATCCTTCAGAACTGTTTATGACTGTGGTAACAGCAAACATCGGTTAGCTTAACACGGCAAAATGTCATCAGTGGAGGAACGTGACGAGTAGGTGGTCCATCATGGGTCGGTCTGTGTCCAGTAATTATGTTTAATGTAAATTATCTAAAAATGTTGGCTACATTCAAAATTGAAAAGTATGCAGAGTTAAACGGGAGAGCCAGCGATGTGCAGTAAGTAGCAGGCAACACGGTGAGGCTGTTAACGTGTGTGAACAAATCCTGCATAATACTCAGGCTGGTCAGTCACATGTGTAAAGGATCGAATCAATTGCACTTGCGTAGTCCTTCGTAATAATAATAAGTGTATAACATGAGGAAACCCTTCAAAAGATACTAAGAAGCATAAGATCTTTGAAATAGCATCAGCGAAGTAAAATAAAACTAATTAAAGTCTTAGTGTTAACAACAACCCAACAGGTGTATGGCTTTATAGCAAGTAGTTAGAACCAAAACTCCTAAGCAATATTAATACTAACAGTGCTTGTGTCAGACCCATCTGTAGTATTTAAACATGCTTGTCAGGCCCATTGCAGCTTTAAACGCACGGCTTGTGTCAACACTCGTAGTATTAAAAAACGCTCTTCAGAACCTCTGCAGTATGCTGTCCCTTCTCTTCCTGTAATTATCAGAAAATGTGGGGAACAGAGAAGGTACAGAGATCAACAAAAATTTTTTTAATCAAAGGAAAAAATCGTATGAAAAAAAAATTAAAATCACTCAGTGAAATAAAGGGCTTTGAAGGAGCGAAAAAACCCTTAACAATATTCAAACCATTTCGATATGTTAACACAAGGTGTTTTTTTATAGCAGTGTGTGGGAGCAAAGGTAGTAACCCTTTTTTCGGCGCATGGCACACCCTCATTTACAGGCTATCTCCCCAAACAGCGAACCCGGGTTTCTAAGAGTTTATGAGGGGCCCCATCGTTCAATAGTGACCCGGTTTAGCCAATAAGAAGGTGGGGTTGGCAATCGCGGGTTTGTGGATCCGCTCTCCCCTTTTGCCCCTTTTCATTCCCCTTCAGAGCGGGGTTTAAGCAGGTCTGCTATCTTGTGGCTTCTATTTCTGTTTTTCCGTGGGGTGACTATATTTATCACTGTCATATGTCATATTTTTTCTAAATTTGTTTTAAATAATAAATCTAAACTTTTTCTATGTGTTTTTTGCTCCCATTACCCTGGGATAAAAGGGCCCTTTGAAATCCCGGGTTGTAATATGGGGGCCCGTCCCGGGGTTGGACTAGGAAAAAGGTTGAGTTAGGGTAAGCTTGTAGCGGAACATTTTGTGCTTGCTTTTTTGCTTCGCTTTCAAATTTTGGGTCAGTTGCTTTGACAGCCTTGCTTTTGGGTGTCGTTTAAAAAGCTCGCTACTGCTTGTTCAGTTGTGTCGCTTCGCTAGGTAATTTGTGTGCGTGGCTTTGCTTGTATGCTTTTCCAACGTACTGTGCATAGCTAAGGTTTTTTTCTGCAAATTAACGTGTTATTTGGGGGATTCGTACTTGCATGCGATAACTTATGCCACCTAGCAGTCAGACCCTGGTGTCGGCATTACTTTGATAACCTACCTAAATTTCCCTACAGGTTGTTGGCA